GTGACCAAATTTTAATGCAAATTCATTATTATATCAATCTGGAAACATGGCTTTTACAATTGCGTAATTATTGAGACTATGCTAAGGGCTGTAACAGATATAACTCAAATCTCATCCAGACAATCGAATATTCTTTATTACGGTTCGCAAATTTCTGTGAATTTTGCAGATTAAGAAAAAAAAATAATCACTCACTGTTTATGAGTTTTCTGATTTTTTTTCAATTTTCTCATCAGAGTAATTATATGAAATCAAAAATCATTTAAAAATCAATAAATAAAACTTTATGCTAGGTCAGTATTATAATAACAACGACAAGGCTCATATAAATTTCCACTAATTGATTTTATTCTTTGACATATCGTATAGGTTCTTAAACCACAATATGCAAGGACACGCAGTTTATTACTAAACCATTTTTCTCAAATAGCCAAACTTAGACATTATTTGGTCGTTGTTCAAGATTATCGATCGGGTCTATTATTATCCGATTACATGCATTATCATTATGTACGCAAAGTTCCGTTTACGCCACTCATGCATTCCTTGGCTTATTGATCTACATAATTCATATCTGATGTCATCTCTGTTTACTTGTACGTATTCAGATTAACGTTAACATTTGCAATGATTTTTACCCTGACCCAGGCTGACTATGAATACCAGTCTAAAAAATTTGCACAGTATGTGATTTTATTAAAAAAATTTTTCGTTATTAGATTAGGGTTTGGTCCCGTCAGTGGGTTAAGGTTGGAGTTAAAAGGTTATAGTTACAGTAAAATGTCGCAATGAGAACTTTTTGTTAGTACACAGAAAGCAGTTTAAAAGCCAATAATTTGAGTTACGAATGATTTTTGGATTGTTTTCGTTTTTTACATTTTTTTACATTACATCTGATCTCGAAATTTGATTTGTATCGAAATATTTTTTTTTAGACTGGTACTTTATATACAGTTCAGGCTGATGTATAGTTTGTAGTAGAATTAATTAGCCGTTGTTAGAGATGGGTTTCATGCGTGCGCATGATTCCGCAATCATGCGCATTTTATCCCATCAAGATTTCTCTCCTCTCGATCTTTTTACTTTTTTTTGCCTTTTTTTATCATGCGATATCATGCGCATGTTATTATAAAATGCGCAATTTTCCCACCACTATGAAGACCTCTTTGTTTTAAGCAAGTATGCGATCATGTAGTGTTTGGCGAAAAAAAATCAATGAATTCAAGAATTGATGCCGTAATGCGTTATTCTATTATTATCGGTGTTGATATTTTGTTCTATTGCAAATTTGCCAACTATGTTTATTGCTATATTGCTATATTACTCTACTGAGAATTTTATGAGAATTTTATTGACTTTATTATGGAAATATATTTAACTGTTTGATTTAATAAGCTATTTATTAAACTATTGCAAACCAACAAATTTTTATGAGAAAATTTCTATTGATATATTACAAATCAAAAATTATTATTATTTATAAATAAAATAGAGACAAAATAAATACATTAAACGTTGCATCGTAAAATAATTAATATATTTCCTGTTATTACTTTTAATCTTTCATATCATCGCTATCAATATTTATTTTTATCTTTTTAGAATCAATATCTATTTCTATCTTTTCGGCAGTGTCAATATCTTTTTAGAATCAATATACATTTTTATATTCTCTATCCATTTTTATTTTGTCAATATCAATATTATTATCTGATATAACACATTCATCTAATTGTTGATTGATATAACTAATAAGTTTACTATTATAAATAGAATTATTATCATTACTAAAGGTAGAATCATTATTTTCTATCACCATTTCTTTATCAGAGTTTATAAATTCCGATAAAATTCCAAAATCATTCTTCCATTTTGTAATAGTTTCATAAATTTCTAACGCCGATGGGCGCTGATCTGGATTCTTATCCCAACATTTCTTTAAAAGTTCTGCATAACATATTGCTTTACCTCTAAGAATATTAGGTCTTAATCCTTCACAAATCTCTATAGCCAAGCTTTGGTCATTACCTTTATATTTAGGAAAGGCAATATTTCCCGAAGAAATTTCCCACATAATTATTCCTAAAGAGTAAATGTCGGATGTTTTGGTAAACGGTCTTCCTTGCAAAATTTCAGGAGCAATATAAGGTAAAGCGCCATAAATTCCTTTATATTCTGCGTCCAATGCTTTATCTATTGCCGTTGCAAACCCTAAATCTCCAATATATGCATTATGCAAATGATCTTGGAATATATTTCCACTATGTAAATCTCGATGAATAATATTATGTGAGTGAATTAACTGAAGATCCAATGTAATATAAGAAATCAACTCTAATTTTTTCGACCACTCCATTTGTGCAATAGCAAAAAGGTTCTTACGTAGAGATCCCATTTGCGCATATTGCATGACTAAAATATAATCACCTGTATCTTTATTTCTTGATACCCCATGACATTGTAGAAATGTTGGATTTTTAGTTCCGATCTTAGAATACGCATTTAACTTTGAAAATATTTATTAGTTAACTTTATAATTTAATAAACATTAAACTACCAAATATCTACCTCTTTTATAAGTTCTCTATAGCTATCATTTTTTCCATGAAATAATTTAAGTGCAACACGTTCATATAAAACATCGTTGTCTGTAACAGTATGCTTCCATGTAGCATAATAGACTGTTGCAAACCCACCTTTTCCAATTTCTTTTGTAAAATTTAATTCATCAAATGGAATCCATGATATTAAATTATTTTCTAATAATAATTCTTTTAGAAAATTATCAATATCAAGATTTTCACAGCTAGATGTTTTTTGTGAATTAATTCTAGCTTTTCGTAGCCATTCAATAGCTTTTTCCTGATCATGTGATACTCCGATTCCGTTACGATAACATAATCCAAGTTCATGTTGTGCATCAGGATCACCACTTTCAGCAGATTTCATTATCCGCTCAAAGGCTTTTCTTTCATCCTTAAGTGTGCCTATGCCATTTTTATAGCACAATCCAAGATTGTATTTAGCAATAGAATGGCCACCTTCAGCCGATTTCAAATACCACTCGAATGCCATTTTTTCATCCTTAACTGTGCCTATGCCTTCTTCATAGCAGATTCCAAGCCTATTTTGTCCATTCGAATTTCCGCCTTCAGCAGATTTCAAATAACACTCAAATGCCATTTTTTCATCCTTCGTTGTGCCTATTCCATTTTGATAACACCATCCAAGGTTACCTTGTCCATCCGAATTTCCACCTTCAACAGATTTCAAATAACACTCAAATGTCTTTTTTTCATCCTTAGTTGTGCCTACAGTTGTTAGGCAAAACTATTTTTGGTAGATGGCAAAAGTCAAAACTAAGTCAAAACTTGGCAAAACTCTGGCAAAACGGCAAAACCCTGGCAAACCGGCAAAACCCTGGCAAAACGGCAAAACCCTGGCAAAACGTCAAAACTCTGGTAAAATGAAAAAAACGGCGAAATTTCAGCAAAACATCTAAAATTCTTAAAAAAGGTCAAGCACTGCGAGGTTCAACTCCTCTAAGCTCTGGAAGGACTGAGCCACATTGGTGAATCAAAATATTTTGTGTGTGGCTATTAAGCACAGCACTTGGCTTATATACTAATGTGCAAAAGTGATAAACAAAGCGATAGCCTTTCATTGTATTTGAGTTAGAGATTGGACCCGTTGAGAAAATTTCTACCCGGGTATTATTAGATTACCCGGGTTATCCGGGTAAATTATTATGTATTTCAGGTAATCTTATAGCAACCATTTCTACCCGGGTCCAATCCCTAATTTGAGTATTATTAAAAGAAAACTAGAATTCGGGCTTTTGAACTAATAAATCAATTTAGCCTTGAAAATCAAAACCTGAAATTCTGTTTTCTTTAATTAACGCTTATCCATGTATTAATATTATTCGTATAAGTAAACTTATTTAAATATTTTAATAAATTTATTGTTATATTGTTAAGATTTTTTTACTATTTCATCGTTAAAGCTTTAATACATATGTAAGTAACTTGTTAATATTATTACTACATGCAATTACTTCTTGTTAAATCAAATATAGTAAATTTTATTAGGATTTATAGAGTTCTACCATACATGGTATTAGAAGTTTTAACAGAAGAAAGATACATAGCATCATCAAATATTATTCATTTGGTATAATTATGTGGGAAATTTTATATGGGCAATTGGTTGCTTATGATTAAGAAATTGGACCAGAACTTCAAACAAAAATAGGGTAGCCTGGATGCTTATGTTTATGATCCGCAACTTCAATTGGGACTATAACCAGATCGTTCACAAATACCTTAACTATAGAACAGTTCTAGAGCTTATTTGGACTATCTCATCAGCACTCGTTCTGATAGCTATTGCTTTCCTTAGTTTCAAACTTCTTTATCTATTAGATGAGGTCATCGATCCAGTGATGACAGTTAAAGCTATAAGTAATTAAGAAGATAGCTGCGCAACATTGTTACACAAAAACAGGAACAGAAGATGTAAAGAGTATTGGTATTGCATCTAGTAAATATATAGGTTGTTGCATGTGTTATATAACAGTACATTATGGACTGTACATGACAGAATTTTTAAAGACTATGCAGTGTGACTTTCACAATATAGTAAAAGTTTTATTGGTAAATTCAGTCTATTATATAATCATAAAGAAAGCCTGCTATATTATAGCATTTTATATAATATGACTTGAGTTAGTTCACTTTAATTCAATTTCATTATTAGTTATCTGTAGTAAGTTATTTATTATATTTATAAATTTTTAAATTTTATATATTTTAATATATTTTTTTAACAAAATATATTTTAGATTTTATTTATATACTAATAATTAAATTTACTAATAATTTAATTTATTAAAATATAATATAAAATAATAATATAATACTATATTTGATTTAGTTAATATTAAAATATAAACTAATTAATTTATTTTTATTTATTTATTTATTTTAGAAATTTTTAAAATGAGTTTTAGTGAAGAAAATATTAGTACATCTACTTTTATTATAGAAAAAGATAGAAAAAATCTTGGTGGTCATCCAGATAGTCTTGTTTGAAATTATTTTACTAAGGGTAAAAAAACAGGCAAAAGTAGATATAAGACAACTTGTAATTTTTGTAGAACATCTTGAAATCATGGTGAACCAATTAAATTAGAAAGTCACTTAGCAAATCATTGTTCAAAGCAGATCCAACAATTATTAGACAATTTCTTTCAAAAATTCTTTCTGATGATTCTGAAAAAATTAAATCTAATAAAAAAAGAAAACATAATACTTATAGAAAACTTGATCAATATGTTAGTATAATAGAATTAGATCAACAAAAAATTAAAAGAATTCATTTTGCTTGGGCTAAAGCTTTTGCTATTTGTGGAATTTCTTGGAATATTATTAAAAATCCATTTTTTATTGAAACATTAAAAGAAACAAATTTATCTTATAAATCACCAACATATCAATTTTTATCAGGTCAATTATTAGAATAACAATTAGCTCTTATAAATCAAAAAACCAATAATATATTTCAACAATATTCAAATTTAATATTGGATAAATATATTTTATATTTATTTTTTTAAAATTAAATAAATTATAATTAATTAATTTATATTAATTTAGTTTTAGATGGTTGGACTAGTAATAAAAAATTTTCAATTTGGAATTTTATAATAATTTTTTTTTTTTTAATGTTAATGGTGAGGCCATGCCTCTATCTTTATTGAATATTTAACTGAGATTTTACATAAAGT